ATCACAAATTTCAACATGATCGCGACTGCATCGGGCTGCACCGTGGCATTCACATTACACTAGGCCAATCTTTATGGAAATAGACGGGGGAATTTTCCAAGGAATTTCAATGGCATTTTTATCGATTTTTAAAGAACTTATCAATCGAGCTCGCATGTCGTATGTAACCCATGGCAATAAATGGAATTTTCACATTTCAATTTTCTTAGAACTGTTTTAATATATTAAGTAGCCCAACTGCATTACAAAGCTGGCTATTTATATGGCTTTCCAAATTTAATTACTAAATTTATTATTTTTATTAGACAATCATAAAGTGCAAACCACATGCTTTTATTGTCGTGTCTTGACTTGTCTATTTAACATTGCATTAACAGCTCAGAAAGTAGCCGTAGGCTTAAAAGTGTAACAGTGATTTAACATAGCTACTACATTTCATTGAGTTAAATGAAATAAAAGCAATGTTGGTATATATGCATTAGTGCGATTATTCATACAGTTACTGACTCTCATATCCAAATCAAGGCACTCAACGCAAGTGGAGCCGAATGGAGCCGAAGTCTCTTACTTGGAGAGAAAACGAGTGAGAGCAAGTATTATACGATCAACTGTAATTTACGGGTTATGATTTTCTTTTATCAAATTAATTAATTAAAGTAAAGTATGTACGTATGTATGTATGTATATATTTATATGAAGTAGTATGAAACCAGTTTAGTTGATATCTAAATTAAAATAACTCAAACATTATGACATATTTATAAGAGCTTTTGTTATAATGCATTTCGAAAACATGAACTCCAAATTCAATTTATAATACAAATTTATGCACATATATTCCTTTTAAATTATGTTTTTTATTTTTATTTTTGCCTTTTACCTTTTTGCAAATTGACTTTGTAGTCGTATTCGGTTTTTATTTCGTCAATATTAAATTGATTTTCCATTAAGTTTATGTATAACATTTAAATGCAACTTTTAGTCTAGTTTTCAAAGACAACTTAATTTATTTTTAGTGGTTCCCAATCAACGACTGATTAATTGTTATTTAATGCAGACATTGAACAGAATGATTAATAAAGTATTTTTTATTGAAATATATTTTTAAGATCTTCTACTTGTTTACCTTCTCACACATGCATTTGTTTATCATTTGTTAGCAGTCATATGTTGAATCAGAGCCATTAAATATATGTTTACTTAAGTGTATATACATATATATAATTGTTACTAAATGCAAATCATGTCAATAGGATCTCTTCTTATCTATCTATATATAATTCATAAGCTTTATCTGATTATCATATTATGTTCCTTGATTTAGCCACAGTGTAATTTTAGCTTGCACAACGCTGTTGTGCAGTGTACCTCGATTCAGCTGTCCCTGACCCAGCTCTGCGCTGGCCTGCAGCTGGCAGTCCCAGTCCCAGTCCTAGTCCCGCTGTCCGGTTGTCCGGCTGTCCAGTGGTTGCCTTCTGATCCGCCTTCCGAGTTTGCATTAATTTATGAAGTGATGATGACAAGTGGGATAACGGGGTCATTTCGCGCTTAATGTCGCCAACACGTAAAATGATTTGCATCGAAGCGAGCAGCAGGCTCGAAAGAGAGCCCCAATGCCAGTTGCCCGATGCCCAATCCCGCGTAACTTTAGAGCCTGTCGCAAGGCTGACGTAGAGACTAGGGATTGTGCTGGGCCGCCGCCTGCTACCCAGCTGCAGAGATCCTCAGCGAGGACTTATCGCTGCCGCCCGATCATAACAACACATTTTAAAGGGCTTAAGAGGCGGCGGTCGACGAGGCGTCTTTGTTGCTCTCGCTGCTGCTGCTGTTGCTGTTGTTGTTGTTGTTATTGTCAGTTGCAGCCGAAGCTGACATAAGCGGACCGCAAACGTGACAGCTCACTTCATTCAGCTGACAGTTTGGGGGCTTTCTACTTATAGCTGGAGTTGTCTCTGGGCAATTGCTTCAATATTATTCCTAATTTGGCACTTAGGTGCGTCGATCGTGCTCTGCAATGGGATACACCGAATGGGCATCTTATTTATATTTCTCTTATTTCTGTATTTCTGGACTGTTCTTCTTCTCTCGTTCATTTCTGTTTTTTTTCTTCTTTTTTTTTTTGGCTTTTGGTCAACTGTGGTCTGCCGGTCTTTGCGCCGTGTGCGTTGACATAAATCAAGCGACTTCCAACTTTTATCACGATCTCCTAAATAAGGCGATGCGGCTCTGCAATCCGCTTCATACATTACACGCCGCCGTCGCAATCGCTAAGTAAGCTATCATCAGGCTACGTTCCCAACCAGGCGATTCGCTCTGTCACTGTGGGCCAGCCAGTGTCAACCAGAGGTCCACTCGGATCTGGTCTGGTCAGCCCGGTCAGCAGCAGATCCTCTCATCTCTCTGCCGCTGCGACTGCTCCGGCTGCTGCTGCTGCTGCCGTTACGGCCTCGTAAAATGCGTGTGCGCTCCGCGCGCGCCTCTTAATGACAGCTTGAGGCTGCGGTCAGCTCTGCAGTTGCCTTACCTTTGCCCTAGCAGAGGATCATATGGCTATCTCAGCATGTTTGCTACCAGCACCAAGTGGGGAGCTGGAATGTGGGTAAGTTCTTGGGGACAAGTGGATTTGGTATATTTGTATGATAATTGAACGTTGATGCAATTTTGGGTATAAACAAAGTATAGAAAATTAGCTATCATATCATATTTGAAGATGCTTATTAAATGTATTTAAATTTCTCTTCCAACAGGCTGTCAAATATACTATTAAAGAGTTAAAACTATCTCTGTTACACCTGACTTACTGCCATCAATATTTTTGAAGCTTAAGTATAACTAGAGCATACCTTACATATGAAGCTATATCAGTTTTCACGCTAATGCATATACATACGTATATGTTTATATGTATATAGTTAATAAAAAGTTTCTCAAGAAATAAGAGAGTATATCAAAACTGGGTAATAAATAATGTCCTGTTAATATTTTTTTTAATAATTGAAATATTTTATGATTTTTAATTTAAAGTATTTTTTATAAGACAAATTTGTATAGAAACTAAAAATTAATAAGTAGTTTTGAAACTTTTAATTGACCAAAAAATAATTGCAAATATTTAAAATTCATATTTTTTATAATATTTTAATTTAAATAGTTTTCGTAAGTTTTCAAAATTAATCTCTGTAATACTTTAGTAAGTAGTTATAGTATAATATATATAAATAATATATAAATATATATATAATATATAATATTATAGTATTATATAACATTACAGAATGTTAATACTATAATATTATTACTATAATTTGAAACGCACCTCAATGCATTTTATTATTGATGTACTTGATTGACATAAAATACGCTATTACAAATGACGATATATACACTTTTACAATTGTTTAGATCTCAGCTGTGGTCGCCCTTCCATAAAGTGTATTTGATGTTTCGTAGTGTGAAAATTAGAGTTTTCTTGCTTGTTTTCCGCTGCTTGCCGGCCGCTGTGGTGAATTGTTCAGTGAGTTTTAGCAAATGCGATTAAAATGTCACAGAAAAAGAGAAAGAGAGAGAGAGAGAGGGAAAGAGAGAGAGAGATAGACGGCTGCGTGTGAAGCAAATGTGGCACAAACGTTGTTGGCCGTCTGTCAACGGGCCGTGAATGCGCAGACTCTAGCCATGTTAGCCAATCCCTCCAGGCCCCCCTTCACCACACACACACACAACACACCGCTCCACCCAGTTACCCCGCTGAACAGTGTAAATTGTAAATGTCTGGGGCGGCGGCAAGCCTTACATGTTGCGCTGTGCACGAGGACCAGAGGCTCAGCCAGAGGCTCTTTGCATAATGATGACATTCCGCTGCGTATTTGATTAAGAATTTTGACAGGCGACATAGTGTCGCTTTGATGGCCACCCAGGCCAGCCATATCCAATGTCAGAGTCCCGATCCCCAGCGTCCAGCGAGTCGTCTTGTCTTGTCGTTTTAATCAACAGCGCTGATCAATAACAATCAACATGTTTGCTGATAATTTCGCCCAGACAGCAGACCCGCAGCTCCTGCTCCCGGTCCCACTCCTGCTCCCGCTCCTGCTCCCTCAAATCCTCGCTCTCTCGTTTGTAGGTGGCGTTTTCTGTCTTCTTCTTCTTTGCCTTTTTTTTGAGTCACTTTGCGGTGCATTCCTTTTAATGGTTTGATTGATGGCTGGCAGCTCTGCTGATCGGGCTGCCTTGAATTTGTCAGCAAATTTGTCAGCCACAGGGGGACGCCAAGCAAAAGTTTGACACAGCGCTAACTGGTTTTTCTGTTATTTAGGGAACCGCGCATAATCTGGGGTTTTTTCTTATGTGCATATATATTTTTTTAAGGCTTACTGAATCACTGGCCAAAGCATTTTCGCGGAATGCGGCGAAAGTGAGTGGATGACCACCTGGCGTAGTCACGTGGAAAGTTGTTCCAACTCTCTAGGAAAATTGCCTCATAGAACAGAGCTGGAGGATGATTCAAGGAATGCATAGAAACACATTGTAAGCTACTACATTAGTATATTTAAATTAATTAGCTACGGTATAATTTTATTTTAAGCATAACAATATGAATGTCATGCGGAGTATAGTTTTCTATGTCAAGCAGGGCTTTGTTCATTTATGTGATGAGTGAAGAGTTACACCCGGAAGGATGTGGAAGAAGAACTGGAACCAGTGATATATAATCAAGACACTTATAAAACACAAATAGAATGCTATTCGAATCTTAAGTCTCTTCTGCATGCAGAAATGAAGAAGTCAAGTTTTCAGCTCCAGTTGAAAGGAAATGACAGGCAGGCTGAGAAACAGAGGAAATCATATAAATGCTGGATAAATATATACATATATTGTTAGATTTATACATTTACTTTATAAACGATTACTTAACTTTGTATTAGTGTAAATACGTTAAATAAATATCTTTATCTATATTTAAAATATATTTATAAATATATTTCTAATATTTCATACATTTTGATTAGTTTCAGCTACGCATAATTATTTAAAGTTTATTTGGATTTTGAACGGGCTAATAAGCGATACATTATTTTCTATAAATTTGTTAGTCTTATTGATCTGCAGTTTGGAAGAAGCTGCAAAATTTCAACCAAGAAAATGAAGAGTTTAGCTTTAATACTTCTTAGCTACGCGTATTTCCTAGTTTCGAATGCTCTATCCTTTGATCGTAAGTATGCTGGTAAAATGTTTTGTTTCTCTATCTAAGGTCAAGTTTTTCTAGCCCGCTGTTTTGCAACACCGAGTCTAAATGATGATGTGCAGAAACCGAAAATGAAAAGGCAATGGTATTTCAATTTTGAAAAGAATATGTGCATTTCGTTCAATTGGAATGCCACTTTGCCAAGTGGCGTCGAAAATCGTTTTCCAACAAAATCCGACTGCTTGCAAAGGTGCAAGTACTAGTCAAAATCGGTATTATAAATACAATATTTATTAAATATATAATATAATTTATAAATTAGAATTTATAATACATGTGCCCGTCATTCAAGAAAAGATGAGAGTGTCTGAGGAAATTCAATGAATTACAGCCAAATATTTTGCGTATATTTGATTAGTGAAGAAAAGGAAGTGAACTCCAAATTTAGAAGTAGCCAGCCTTATAGAAATTGCGATGCTGGAAAATATCAATATAAAATATTGACTTTGGTTACAATAGAACTTCCATCACAATATTACATTATATTTTTTGCGGATCTTTGATAATAGTCTAAACTAATTTGTCTGGCAAGCAGTTGAAGCTGAATTGAAGCAGTTGCTAATGATTGGCTTATAGCCAGGTTTGCGACCACACATTATACTAACCATAGCCTTAGAACGGAATTGAACTGAACTACGCCCACAACAGATCAGAGCAGATCAGAGGAGATCGGGGCAGATCATAAGAGATCACTAGAGATCATGTCGCTGGAGCATTGCCAAATCTGGACAAGGCCAAAGATAATTTGCAACAATTTGCGTCGCCCCAAAAGAAGTCGAGCAGCGCACAAAAGGCGAACGCAAAATGTTGTTTAATAATTTAATTTGCCACAATTTAGCAACGTTTATCAAAATCAAGAGCCATATAGAAAGTCTGAGGAGCTCACTGTCTATGGAGGTAGGGCAAATATATGCTATGTATGTCTAACCACGATGACGATGACGAGTCAGAAAACTTAAACTGAAACTAAAACCGAAACTGAAAACGAAACGCGATGGGATTGAAAAGTCGGATTACCGCGCAGATAAACGGCTACCTAAGTGAACGGCATGCAGGAACGTGATCAGCCCAATTTTAACGCCCATCCAAAATCGACGATGCTACCAGAAAGACGCAAAGAATGCGAGAGAGAGATAGAGAGAGAGAGAGAGTGAGTGAGTGAGAGGGGGGAGGGTAAGAGGTATCCAAGTCGAACCATTTCTACGAAATGTGGTGGGCGCAGAGTCCGTCATTTGGTCAGCGTGCGAGTGCAGCCTATTATTAAATTGTCAAAAGGTCGAGAAATATTGTATGTGTACGCAGTAAGCAGCCTGTGACTGTGTGTGTGTGTGTGTGTGTGTGTAGTCTCAGCGATTTGTGAACCCTTGCCAGGGTCAGTGCGGGCCCTGGCAACGTCTGCCATAACCAAGTGGAACGGCAACTCCACCTCCTCCAACGTTTGCTCGTCTACGACGACGCGCGTATCAGAAGCAAATCGAGCTAATTGGGGCAACGGGGCAACATTTACGTGCTGCAAGGGGCGTGGGGGGGCGTGAGGCGGGGGCGCTGCACATTAAGACAATATGGTCTGGCTGCGATCCTGCCTGCCTGCCCACAACATTTTGTTTATTTTGTGTTTTAGGCCGTGTGAATTTTCAAAGGCTCAGGGCTAAAAAAAAACAAAAAAACAAGCAACTGTCGAAATTCCAAGAGGGGTCCAGCGCCTGGCCTCGCTCTAGGGTTTAGCCAGAGCCAGAACCAGAGCCAGAGCCAGAGCCATCGGGGCACAGCTCTCGCGCTCTCGATTAGCGTCGTCTGCTGCCGCTTCTGCCGTTGCCGTTGCCGCCGCCGCCGCCGCTGAGCAAATGGTGGGCGTATCGCGGCATTTATTACAGCCAATGTTACAATTTGTGGCTTTCGGATTTATGCGTTTATTCAGGCAGCGCCCCGAAATGCCAGACGGCTTATGACTGGCCAGCGGTCGCCGCGGCAAGCGGGGCAGAAGTCGGCAGTAGTCTGTTCTACCGACTAACCGTTCGCTAAGCTACCGAAAGCTGCCCAGACGCTGACTCGACTTCTGCTGCTGCTGCTGTTGCTGCTGCTGCCTGCCGTCTGATTGATTTCTGGGAATCGGACGCACAGCTCCGCACAGTGCCACACAGCCAAATATTTAGAGTTCGTTCACAACAAAGTTATGATTAAATGTGTGTTCGGGTGGATCAAGAACAGCAACAACAGCAACAACAACAACAGCAATCATAAAGAACAATACTGTAGAACTATGCGCGGTGGCAAGTGTTATCATTATTGTGGTCAGCTCTATTATTAATTAGCAGCCAACTGGGAAATCGTTTCACTGGCTCTCTAGCAATGATCGGCGTGAGTAATGGGTGGGAACTTGATAGCTTTGAATCGATTCTAAAGCAATGCTCACATCAGTTGAGATGTGTTTATAAGAGCAGACATATACATATGTAGTACATAATTATTTGAGTAGTAGGCTGTGTGCTCGCTTTTGTCTGCCTGCCTCTAATAGAAACTATGGGAAATGGGAACTCTGGTCGTGGTGATGCAATGCCACATTAAGACTGGAGATGAAGCAGCAGAGTGCCAGAGCTGACGACGCCATTACAGAAGAACTTTCCCTCATTGCCATGGAGATTTAGGACATACTTTTGTATAGGTGAGTTTGCCTGAGTATTGCTTGTACCATGCTTAGCCATGGTTGACCGTGGTCTTTCCTCTACGATTAATGTAAGTGGTACTGCTGGGATACCAAATTATGGATCTGTGCCTCGTGGATTAAATTAAATTAAATTAATAATTAATCATTTTTAAATATAATAATAAAACTAATATCATAGCATAATATATCTGTCTAATTAGTATCCAAAAGATTGCAAATCAATTAAGGCAAAATATCTTTATTATCAAATGAAAAGAATTCCATTCAAAATAATTACCTTCGATACGGGTTTCACCCCTTTGTCCACAATATGTCAAAGACAAGCATATAATAGTTATTTAATTCATAAACTCATCAATTATTACAATATATGTATAATAACTAGCATAGATAATATTCTCAGAGAGATTACGCTTACATATTTACCAGAAGCTATTAGTCGAATATAGCGGTAAATTAGTTGCATATGGGGTAGCAATTACTATCGAACATTTCTATTTTCATTTTATTTTAATCAATATAATCCAACGTCTATCAATACGGCTTCTTATCAATTTAATCATTTGCCACTTATCAATCAATTTCCCGTGTGGCATTAGGTCTAATGAGTTTTTCATATACCAACGCTCTTTTATCTATATTAAACATTGCTCATCCATGGTTGACAATAATAGCTCGATATCGCTGCGATAATCGTCGCGGAAACCAAAACTGAAGCTGAGTCTAATTTCAGCTCATATTTATTTATCTTTCATTCGCCTTTCTCCTCTAACAACAGATTTGACCCATATCGATTAGTCATGCTGCTTTATGAAAATTTCCATAATTAAATGGACAAATCAATGTGGCTAATTAGGCTGACAGGCGGTCAGCCGGGCCCAGCCCCAAGTTCCCAGGCAGACGGTAGCCGATGTCGGGCTGGATGATCTGATAATGCTTCAAAGGCTGCAATTAAAATGCGATCAGCAGGCGACAACAAGCTGCGATCCAAACGCTGACTAAGTAGCCAGCTGACTAACTAGAAATTAACATAAACTCCGACTACAGACTTTACGAGCTCAAATTGACACACATTTCATAGTCATAGAGATAGAGAGAGAGAGAGAGATAGGGTGAGAGTGAGATGAGATTGCATATGGTGAGGCGTTCAGGCCTAATCGATTATAAATGTGCCTACCTATGTGCGATTAAAATAAATTGCAAAAGCCCAGTCCTGCGCTGCGCTTAAGTTTCATAATTAATTCAACAGATCCAACAACTACAACAACAACTGCAGCAATAACATTGACCACAAGAGTAGCACCGGGTCTACATTGTGATTCACTAACCGGCCCCCAGTTTGCTCCCGCTGCCCGTTAACCAGACGCTTCGCCTGCTTGTCAACTCTTGTCGCCCATATAAAAAAGAAAACAAGTATAAGCACTGTAGGCCCTGATAACCGTCTGCCCAATACTCGTTCGGGAATAAATATTAGGATTAATGAAATCTTAGGGTCTGTTATAAGACTCATTCATTCAAATTGTTAGAGCTAGAAGTTTCCATTGCCTTTATTTGTGTTGTATATTTCTATTTATGTACCACATATTTATATCTGAGTGTAAATTTATAAATGTTTTTTTTTTTTAGTTAAATTTTAATTTTTTTTAATTCAATAATTACACCAAATATACTCTTCTCAGAGCATCAAGAGGTTGCCGCTCTCTGGCTTGATTTTATTGCGTCAAGCTCGTATCACTTACCGGATATATAGCCAACGCTACGGGAACATAAACCTTATCTAAGCCTAATATACTCGCCTCGCCTCGACTCCGAACGGGCATAACGAGGCAGCAACCGTGGCTCGTTTCATAAACTCTTGTCAAGCTATCGCCACTCGTCCACGCTGCTCGTCCACAGCCACAGCCACAGCCACAGCCACATCCATATCCGCAGCCTTATCCACAGCCATATGCACGTCCAGTTCGTTGTCGTAAAGTCGCTGGCAACACCTAGAATGCAAGCAGCTCGCTGCTTATGAGTGTATTTTCGAAAAGGTGTCAGGAAACAACTTGTCGGAATGCATCTAACAAGGAATTCGATTTTGCCAGGCGTTCCAGTTGCTCTGTTCGGTTGGTCACTCTGTCGGTCAGTCGCCGTCGTCGCCGTCGTCGCCGTCGTCGTCGTCGTCCGCCTCTCTGTCCATCCGGCCATCGGGCTAATGGCACGTTGCATGTTTTACCACGCTTGATGACATGAATGGGCGCGGGCCCCAGACAACAGTCCACACAATCCCCACAATCCAGACATGCAGCTCCATTTTGCTTCCCTGTTGGCTCGCTCTCGCTCTCGATCTCGTTCTCTCTGCCTGTTTCTCTCCCTCTACCTCTTGAATGGTTCGGCTACTCAGTTGTTTTATAGCTTCGTTCCTTCACTTCTTTGAGATTGAATAAATCTTGTAATTATTATCGATTTAATAGACTAATTGATTAATATTTTGGTAATTAAAACTAATTAATTAATTTAAATTAATTATAATGAAGATGATTTATAAGAAATCGTTAACATATTTTTAGAAAATATATTCCTATATCTATATATATTTTCTATATTCAAACATGTTGCTAGAATTTTCCTTGCTAAATACTAGTAAAGTGTAGCGTATTACATTAGTTACACTAGCCGAACCATTTTCGGTCTTTAACAAAGTGCGTGAGACAGCAAAGACGCGCAATGCGTGTGAGAGACAAAGAGAGAGAATGAGAGGGTGAGCGAGATAGCTTATTGTTGATAGCAACACAAAATGATTGAATCAATGTAGCAGAAAGCTTTTGTACACACACACACACACACACACACACACACACACACACACACACACACACACACACACACACACACACACATTTTTGTATATTTAGTAAAGGCCAAAAGGAGGCATGTCGAATGAAAGAATCTGAAATTTTTGGAATTTTTGTTAATTTGTAGGACGACATTTTGGCTGCCCCTGTTGTCTTCAATGTTGATGAAGGTGATCAGTTCTTGAGCTCGTCGAACTGCGCTGCAAAAGATCAAAATGGTAACGTATTAGATTAGAGTTTACTGTTTGGGATTTTGCTGTTTCAGAGATAAGCAAAATATAAACAATTTTTCAGTGAATTCCGTAAGCAAAAAAATTAATTGAGAAATTAAGAATTTATTATTCATAGCTGATTATGAAACAACAAAATCATTAAAAATAAATAAGCAAGTAAAAATATGATAAGATGATTTAAAAATAGTTTCAAAAGTTCCATAAATAGAAGGTGATTCAGAAGAGGAAACAGACATTGTCTTCATTATCTCTGGGGAAGATTCCTTTCCCTGTCAAGCTTCTATTATTTAGCAAACTATTCCAATGATTTCATAGTTATTTCAGCTTCTAGGGCTTTATTGCCATGCATTAATATCTTTATTGCATTTGTATGCGTGTAGCCCCATATATCGATCACAATGATCACTTTGGAGCCACAATTCCAATGTGGAGCTTCATTCAAGCATTTACTTTGTTTCACTTCTGTTGTTATTGTTTGTTTTCCTTTTCTTCTTCTTTTTTTCTGCTGTTTTCTGTTTTTTGATCGTTTTACAGCTTGCAAAGTTGTCACCACTTTCCTGGGCAATTTGTACGCATTTTCAATGGTGGCGGCATATCGAAACTTGTGTATCTCAGCGAACAACAACAACAACAAAGGGGCACAACAACATCTCGTAGGTGTTTATAATGTACACTTTCTTGTTGTTGGCGATCGATCGAATCGCATCGCATCGCACCGCATCGCATTGCCTCGGATCGTATTGGATCGGATCGGATCGGTTCGCAACCGGAGTCGAGTGAGCCGCGAGTGTGGAGCGCATTTTCGCAGTTTACTTTTTGGACATTAAAACATCCGTTTACATAGTATTCCCATTAGCAGTTGCTCTTGTCTCGACTTTTGCGACGCCTTGTCTGTCCACCATGTTGTCGTTGTTGTTGTTGTTGTTGTCTTTGTCATCTTGGCTGAGCGCGTTGTTCGATCCTCGATTCGCCTTGTCTCGGACACGCGACAATCTTTGGTTTTTTTTTTTTGTTTTTTTAATATTTTTTTTTTTTTTTTGTGGCTATGGCAACGATTCGTTCTTCACGCGCGATTTCAGCTCCAGTTGAAACAAAAGCAAAATTAAATTGTTATGAACACAAGTTTTCGATATAAGTTATGCGGCTGCCCCTACTTAACACATATTTATGGCGCGTGCAGCGGTAGCGCAGATTCTTCAGATACTCTCCATTCGGCGTGCCCTGGCCAGTTCGCCAAACGTTGTAAATTACGGGGTTTATGGGCGTTGAGTCAGCGCTTGGAATGCGAGCAGTCATCGAGCAGCCACCTTCACACATCTCGCCAAATGGCCGCTTGGCCAATTTAATGGGGGTTAACAATACCAACGTGTGGCGCCCTCTGACGTTGCGAATCCACTCATCTCATCGTTGAAATGCAGTTAAAAACGCTTTGTGAATACACTCTTTTACGTTTCCATTTCATTTCATTGTCTGTCAAGTTAACTGAGAGTAAAGGTAGAAGGGTAGAAAAAAAGCAGTCTGCTTGACCATATATTGTATGTACTTGAAGCATGTGAAACTATTAAGGATGTAGACTACATATATGCGTTCTTCCATATTCGAATTAGAACTTCTCTTCAATTTATTTACTTTTGTAAACATAAATGGTATTAATACTTGTGCATATTTATGCATATATATAACATATATATAACTTCGTGCAATGAAGCTAATATACCCCTTAATTTTAAACAGGTGCGGGTATATGCCCGCTGGCCATAACATTTATTTAAGCGCCTTCCATATGCGAACCAGACTTAATTAAATATCAGTGACATTTATCGAGTCTCGTGTAGCTGTGGCACGCCACTTTAACGATAAAAGTGGGTGCATATAAAAAGCACAGCCACAGCCAGAGCCACAAACATAAAGCAACACGAACCCCACAAAAAAGAAAAAAAGAAAAAAAAAAAAGAACACGAACTCAAACTCGAATCAGAATCAAATACCGCAGCTCTGTCAAATATAAATCACCGAAAGCTCGCGTTCCCTAGCCCAGGCAGGCATCAGTGGCCCATCTCGTTTCAGCTGATTCCAGCTCATGCCGTCTCGTTGCCTCAGCCGGCGACGAGCAGAAACTCGCGTCTGGGGCAGCCAATAAAAAGCCAAATTGGCGGCTGTGCAGGAATGTTTAATGATGTATAAAGCATGTTAGAGTTTATCTTTATGGTGGCGTTCCTTTTGCCAAAAACCCACAACAACAACAGCAACAACAACAAGTCAAATTATTTTCAAAATTTGTCTCCATGCAGTGCGTTTTGAATTTATGGCGCTCGATGCTATCAAAAAAAAAAAAAAAAAAAAAAGAGCTAAAAATTATACAAAATTTATAAAATAAAATAAAATTTGTCACCGCGTTCCCCTCTGCGCTGCTCTGACCTGTCTGTGCTATCCGCTCGCTGCTGCTGCTGCAATTGGGCCTGGCTAATCAAGTTGCCCATTATCGGGCAGGGAATGTCAAAGTCATCGTTGCCGTTCGATACGTGTGCCAAATGTGTGTGACGTTTTATCGACCTGCCGACTGTGCCGACTTCCGAGCGCTGAAATACGCCGCCAGCCTTATCGCCGATTCGGCTCGGCCTGTGCCCTGATCTATATCAAATCTAAATTTCTCAGTTCATTATCGGTTTGTCGGCACTCCAACTACTGAAAACGGAATTTCCCGCATACTAAGTACACCCGTTGCTCCACAAAAATGGCCGTAGAACGGGTGTTTGGAAAAGGTGTATAGTATTTATAACTAGATTTCTGAATTATTGGCATAAGTTTCAACTGCTGCAATCGAAAATTTCAACAACCTCTATATAGTGGGTGAAAAGGGAAAAAAATGAAGACGTTAACCAACCGTAATAGATTAATATATTTTTTTTTAAGAATATGGTCTTAATTTTATTAAGTTAGAAACAAATTTTATAAATTAAAAAATAGTTATAAATTAATAAGTAAAAATCTTTAAATAGTTCAAATAAATAGGAAATAAATTACATAATATAAAGTAAATTACAAATAAATTTTATAAATTAAAAGATACTTAAAAATTAATAATTAAACATCTACAAACAATAGTTAATATAAATGGGAAATGAATTACAAAAATATTAAACTCAACTATTTTATGAAATGTTTAGTGTTATTTAATAAAACATTAAAATAAATAAATTAACGGCCAAATTAATGAGGGATATAAATATAAAATATAAAGTGAAATAAAGTAAATTATTTGCGAATCTATGTTATCAAATTAAAAGCAAATAAATAAATTTAAAATTAAATGTAAATTTGTATGTATTTAAATTTTGATAAATAGAAATTCAATATACAATATTTTATTTATATAGAAATTATGGTGAACGAAATAAATATTGTGGCATTGAAAATTGGTCTAATTGATTAGGAAACTTTAACTAGTATGTTGTTGATTTTATCTTTTTCTGTTCTTTTTCTGTTTCGGTAGACGTCGCATATATCGCAAATATTTTATGATTATTTTGAAGACTGATTGATTCTTGCAACTTAATGACGCAAAATTATTATTTTGACCGATAACTGAGCCGATACTGTGGAATGTGTTGGGGCTGGCCAGTCACGGCTAATTTCAATTTAATTGCGAAACACGTGTGGGACTAGGTCTAGGTTAGATAAACAAAGTGGATGGAAAGGTAAGATAAGGTTTCTTTCCCTATAAAGAAAATGAAGGGAGTTAGAGCAAAATACTGAAAGGTTTCAAAAATAATGAAATGAGATATACTCTTATAATATTGTTTTGAAATTAACAAATTGTAGACTTGAGCGATTGCTAAGAGGAAAAGATAGAGGTGTCTGTCTCTTTCCCTCTACCTCTATCACTCTCTCTGTCTTTCTACCTCTCTCTCTCTCTGTCTCTGTCTCTCACTCTCTCAGTCTGCCTCTTGAAATCTCTAACTCTCTCTCACTTTACTCGTCTACATTTCAACATCTGCCTGTCTTTCCCTTTCTCTCTCTCCCTTCATCACTCTCCTTGTCTTTCGCAAATCTCTCCCTCTCTATGTATTCTGATCGATGGCCAACACTTTCTCTGCCGACACCCACAACATCAGCTTTGGCCATACGCAATCATATCTCAATAATTTGGCATAGTTTCTGTTATTCTCTGCAGTTGTTGTTGCGCCACTCTATATACATACAAACGTACATATAACTATATAAGTCTGTATGTATGTATATATTTGTGGGCACGCACGCATTGCCATCGATCCGCTGAGCTTCATCATGTCGCATAAATAATAATCAAAAGTAACAATTTCTATAACGCCGCTGAGCCACCCACACAGAGTGAGTGCCAGAGACGCGGACCCGCATGTTAGGCAAGAGACCAAAGCAGTCTGTGCCTATGTAAGTGTATGCATACATGCATATATATTTATGGACATGGGTGTGTGTCGATGTCGATGTGGATGTACAACAAAGTAGCCGGCCGGCCACTTGAGTAACAGTCGAAATTTATGGCGCAAAGTACAGTGCCCGATTGTCACCCAGGGATGGCAGGCGGCTGCAGGGCTGCAGGGCGGAGGGCGGAGGGCGGCCGGGGGTGTGGCAACCAGTTTGAATAATGCTCAGTTGGGGCAGTTGGGCAGTTGGAGCTGGGACTCTGTGCAGATTAGTCACATGTCAGTTTCAATTATCGTCGAGTCAATTTGTTGAAAGGCCACAGCATATGCAGCCAGCCAGGCAGCGAGCCAAAGTCTTTGCACCCATTCGGCTGTGAGCAGCGTAGAGTCAATCGATACCGCGCGATTCGCGATTCGCGATTCCAATCCGGGCGATTTTCGCTTGAAATATTCCAACAGCGTTGCCGCCGTCGCCGCCACAGGGGAACTGGGGCAGCTGGGGGAATGGAACTGTGGCCGTGGTCATTGCTGATGCTGATGCTGATGCTCTGGCCAGGAGCCACCAAGCGCGTCTGATTATCGGCAGGACAACAACAACCACAGCAGGCGCATCGTTGGCATAGGGCATAACTCAGATGCTCTGCTATGATAATTTTCAATAAGAGAGCAACAGCCAGAGTGAGAGAGAGAGAGAGAGAAAGAGAGAGAGAGAGGGAGAGTGAGAGGAATGGAGTCGAGAAATTGATGATGCTGAGTATGTTTGGAGTCAGCTTGTTTACACAATTCAGCGCACATTGAGGTCGTGTTTGGTGCGGTGTCGTGTAGCTCTTGGCCCGGCCAGGAATTTGTTTGTTGGCAGTGCCATCAAAGAGGCGCCGAACTGTATATCAAGATCAAGATTGAAATCGTTGCGATGTGTCGCATCGGCTCGCCAAAGATTTTTCAGCTAGACAAATGCAAGATCAATAGATACAACAGCAGCAGCAGCAGGAGCTGCGCCAGCCACCACATGATCATCGTCATCATCATTATCAACATCATCATTATCATTAGCATTAGCCATAACATTATCAGCGTCACCCAGTTCACGTACGCGCTCTGCTCGCTCACGTACAAGCGCTATTTGTTCTGCTGACAAATTGGTATCTGTATCCGTAAGATACAGGCTGCGACTGCGACTGCGACTGCGACTGCGACAGCGGCTGCGACTGTTGCTTTGCCTGATGTGGCCAAAAGCGTGTCAACACATTGTGAGCCAGAGTGTGAGCCGGCTCATTTGTCAGCTGCCGAAGCTTTGCTTTGTTTGGCTTTGCCTTTGCCGTTGCCTTTTGAATGCTCGGCCATTTGTCTTAATGGCTCAATGCAATCGCCGAGTTTCCCAGTTTCCCAGCTTCGCAGCTTCTCAGCCTTTTAGTTTTTTTCTGTTTTTTTCCCCCTGTTTTGTCAACTGCAGTCCCACGCAACAGGCCCAACTGACATTGGCCCTGACTCCGTCGGGGACTTTGTCACCTTTATTCAGTCAGCCAGTCGCATTGTTGTTTCGGGTTCCACTGCACCGCTAATGCGAAATATCAATTTGTACTTCACGACAATGTCGCTGCTTGTGAAGCTTATTGAAATTCGAATAGATCGTAGTTCCGGTGATTTTTCTTCTTCTTCTGCCTCAGCTCCTTCATCTGTTTTGTGATTGTCTTTTTGTTGTGGTTTCTGTGCTTTGTACTGTGTGTGAGAATTGCGGTTGAGATCGCGGAAGCGGATATTGGCTAATGATGAGGGCGGCCAGCTATGACTAATGATCGCGCTGATCGATATCTGAACTGAATTTAACAATGTCAATGAGTATGTGTGAAGTAACTATAAAAACTCTTTAGCAAGTGTGACCTATTCGTTCGTGACTCGATCGATGTAAGACATGTGATTCAATAACGGAACCTAATAACTGGATCAACGATTTACTTAAAAATCATAAAAGTTGCAGAAACATTGCTGATCAAGCTTTTAGAAATTCTCTTTAGCTTCTGAAAATAAGGATATATAATTTGTTTGATTTTTTTTGAAACATTTGAATAGTTCAAAAATCACTATAAATGTTTCAGCTGCATCAAACAGTCTTAAATATATATATATTTTTTTGTATACAACTGCAACCCATAAGAGCTTCTGGTGGCACTTTTGCCTCTCTTTTCAGGCTGAGCATGAACAATGGAAAGAAATATAAATAAAAACGTCCCCAGAATGAACTGGAACAACAACAAAATTACCAATTTCTTCACACAATTCATGCATAAAAATAATTCCCAATTAGCTGCGGACCCGAAAGGTAAACAGGCAGGCGGCGCCTTGTGGATTGCGGCGTTAAAATGCCGCAGCGGTAAAACGGAAAAAAAAGTATAAAATAATAATCGTAAAAAGGCAGGATGAGAGAGAGAGAGAGAGAGAGTGGGAGAGGGAGATCGGAGATGCATAAACTCAAGATCCCAAACCCAAATCCAAAACCAAAACCAAATCCCACTGTGGGCAGTTGTTGTGCGAGTGCGACATGATGTTGATATGTTAACAAGACACCCGAGAGTGCCAAGTGGTGTGTGAGCTAAGCTCCATGCCCCGCGACGATCGTCAACAGTCGAGGTTGGCGTCACAGTTGGCATCACATATATATAAATACATATACATATACATATATATATAGTCATATATATGCCTTAATCCGGTAGCGCTGTTTGGCATATGTGAATGGATGTTTGTTTTTGCAAATGCGCCAAGGATAACAAGCCTCATCCAACTGCCAAGTGTGACTGTGTAGTGCCAGGCCCGTCATCTTTTAATTTCCACACACACACACTAGCCTGTCTACTCTATGGTTCTGTGTGTGTGTGTAAGTGGAACCCACACAAGACAAAAATGTTATGACCTCAAGTTTTGGTTTCTAAAAATGCGCTTTGATTTATTTTTATTGATGAGCATATAAAAGCTGGCTGGCCAGCCGATTGGGGCTATGGGGCACAGTAGTAGTCGCCCCGGCCTGGTAGTAGTCATCGCACACCAGCGGGGGGGAAGTCCCACAGTTCCCAAGACGTAGCTGTAGCCATAGCAATGGCATCGCAGCATTTCACGCTGTGTGAACGACATTTTCGTATGTGCGTATATGGGGGCTGTTCGTTAAGGATTCCCTCCTACATTTCATAATTCACGGAATATTATATTCCAGCTGCCGAACAATGCTGTTTGGGGCCGTTTGGCCGTTTGGCCGTTTGGCCGCTTGCCCTCTTGGCCCTTGGCCCTTGGCCTGTCATTTGCCTGCCTCACAAAATATATTCTCATTAAAATTGTGCTTTTTGGTGCTTCTTGTCGTCAACGGGCAGCCGCAGTCGCAGTGGACACCTTGGGCTTGGGGCGCCCCGAATTCACGACTATCCGCCACTCAGACAGAGTCGAACCGAGTCGGACAGTTAGCCACGCCCACCCCCCGTGGTTTTGCTTCCGTTGGAGACGCCACTGTGGCGTGTTCTGTGGCCCCCATTCCGGCGACTCGGTGGAAATCTGAAATCAAAGCTTAACGCTGTTTATGTGCAAATGTCGAAACAAAGATATTTCTTTAAATTGATAAAGATTAACCATAAACAATGAGGCATGCAACAGAGCTCCGAGCTCCCAGCGGCAGCAAGTGGCTGTCTGCGGGGCGCATAGCAATGGCCAAGCTTGAAACTTTGCTGCCAACTTTCAGAAATTATATATAAGTGTATACGTATGTATATATATATGCATATTATGAAATTGGAGTCGAATACCTTTATTTCAGACAACTCAGTGACAATGGAGCTTATGAGTCGGCTATGACACCGTTAAATGGCATGTGGTATATCCTGAAATAATTTATATGCTTCAAGCTCTTGCATTTATCCTATTTGAAATGAAACCAAATGTCAAATTTGAAAACAAAAAATTAAATAATGAATTTGTTAAAATTTAAGTTAAATAAATGTGGTAAGTATTCTATAATAAATATATATTTAAGATTTTTAAAACATTTTTTAATGCTATAAAATGTTTTAATAATGTAAAAGCCTAAATGTATTTATCAATATTATAATATGAGAAAACTATAAATAAAATATACTGTATACCGTAAATTGATTTACAATAAAGTGTCCCATATAAATAAATAAATATAAAAAGATTCTTTGAAACTATTAAATAATATATAATATATATAATATTGTAATATTTACCCAATTAAAGTATATTTCTACTTTTAAATACTAAAAATATTTCAACGTATGCATAATTATTTCAAAACATTCACATATATATATTTTTAAATATTATCCGTTTTGTTTTAAAATAAATAATTTTTTTTTTTTTTTTAACAAATTTGCATATTGCAATTTTATATATTAATTTCAATAAAAACAACTAATTGTTACAATATATAAGTAGAGACAGTTTCTGATCAACTTCTAACAGAATAATAGCCTTTTCATGGATAAATCTTACACACCAAATTTAATTTCCAAGATTTATCAAATGTTTCCAAAATCACCTCTTGGGTACTCTATTAAATATATTTTGCACCTGTACTATGCACATTTTGTTGGAGCATATTTCTTAAGTAATGTCCATTCAAAGAGCTCGACATTCATTCATTGGATTCACACGAGAGCTTAAAGTGTGGGCCTCTGCAGCTCCATCTCTAGCTCCATCTGCTTCTCCATCTCGATCTTCATCTGCATCGCGAGCTTGGAGCGGGCAACCTTCTACCGGATGTGGGCGTTGGCAGGCATGTAATCTGATCCCTGACAAATCGGTCTATTAGAATCGTCGAAGACTGTGTTGAAATATTTGTCGCATGCGCAGCTTGAGCAAAAGAAGTTGAGGCAGTAGAAGAAGAAGAAGAAGAGGCAGTAGAAGAGGCAGTAGAAGAGGCAGAGGCCGAGGCAGGCGAAGATGCCGCCAAATGGACGCTGCTGCCCTGGCGCAGCCCCGAAACGGCGTAGGTGGCGCAGGGCAAATGTGCATTGGGCCGGGGCATAACCCATGAGCCATGCCACACGCGGGCAGCGGCAGGGCGGGAGCGGGGACGGGGGCGGTTGCGGCAGGCGCAAGTCTTTGCCACAGTTACAGGCGGCGCGTGTGCCTAGCCCTTATTTTTTTTGGCTTTGACTTCGAGTTGCTTTTCTTTTCGTTTTATTCTTCTTTTTCTGCTTCTTCTCTTCTTTTTTGATTTTATGAGGCGCAAGTGGCGACGTTTTGTGGTTGCGAGGCAGACGTTGGCTAAAATGTTGCACGGCGACAGCGGCGTCGACGACGACGGCGGCGACTTGGATGGACTTGGTCTGAAGCGGCGCCGCAGCAATTCATAAACGTGGGCGATTGATTCTCTCGTACCGTCGTCTCATGGCCTCCATCCTCATTGCCGGGGCTGTGACTGCGGCTGCGACTGCGACTGTGGCTATGGCTGTGGCTCTGGCTCTGGCTGTGGCTTTGGCTTTGGCTGCTTTTGGGCTTTGGCTTTGCACACTAAGGCTCGGCAAATGGCCCGCGGCATTGCGATTGAACTTCAAGTTATGATCGTCGTCGCAACGACAACAACAACAACAGCAACAACAACAGCAACAACAGTGCCCACATTGATGGACGTTCGCTCACGAACGAACTTGGCTACAATAACAACAGCAACAACACACGCTGTTACCACTTATTGATGGCACATTGTGATGGTGATGCGTTCGCTCCACAACTTCAAGACCCGACAACGACCCAGCCACAGCGCCCTCCGCCAGCTGCTCCACCTGCTCCACCGCCCGCCCGCACTCCACTCATGCGCACGTCGAATAGAGGCGTTCTACTCAAATGTATGATACCCACCCACGAGCACAGCCAGCACAGCTGTAGCCAAAGAGACCCAAACTATGATGATGACTGCGAATGATGTGGTGTATGTGTGTGTGTGTGTGTGCCATGCTGGGCTCTACCCTGCCCTCTGTCCCTCAGAGTGAGCCTTAGCCTCAAGTTAATGTTGCTTAAGGTGCATCCATGAAGCCAACTCTCGAGCAAGCGCCCCATGCATTCATTTTAAGAGTTGCTTCGCTTCATTTTGTTACTTTTTTTGGCCCAAAAGACAATGCAAAATTAAGCGTTTCCTTTATTGTTGTTGCTGTTGCTCGTTGCCTTTGTATTACTTTAAGGTGTGCTCCAGGTAATAATTTAGTTAAATCATATTTTCGGCAAAAGACAAAACAACAACAACAACAAGCGAGCTCTTTGCACTGCAGTTAAAATTATTTGCCTTTAACACTCACTCACCTACTCAGCGCCGCCTATCCGTCGGGGTCTTGACGCGGACTCGTTGGGGGCAGCTCCGGCTCCAGCTGCAGCTCTCAAACTCCATGAATGGCGCAACATTGTTGAGCTTGGCACACACACACACACACACACATATACACATGCGAAACGGAACTATGAGCTGAGAACGACATCAAATCATATTTGAGCACAATTCTGACGTTTGACGTTTAGCACAAGTTCTCTATGGCTCGCTCTGTATAATGGCTTCATTTATGGACGCACTGAGCGCATTGTCAATGCAGAGTTATGTGCAGTGCTATATATTTGAGGTATATATATTGGAGAGTATATATCTGACAGTCAAGGAAGAGTTATGGCTCTAGGGGATATTAATATGAGAGTTATCTGATATAAGAAGATGAGAGAATTGCCTAATTATATTTTGGGATGAATAAAAAAATATTTAAAAATAATAATAATTATGAAAAATAAAAAGAATTACTACTTACATGATCATTAGAAAAGGATAGAATTATCATAAAATTTGATTATTATACTATCGCTTCATATTGATTATATGAGGAAATATTAGTAAATATAAATATTAATTGATTAAATATTTTAATTGGGATTTTTTAAATTATTTATTTTGCCAATATTTTTATTTATTTTCTTATTGATTTATTTATTTTTGTATGAGACTGTTACATGTAATTTTATATATTATTAATGCTTAAATACTATATACATTCTACTCCTCTAGAAATCTATTTAATATATATCAAATTAATATAAAATCAAATCAAGTTCTGATATAATATAGATCGATAATTTGATTATTTGCCAGCAGCTCAGCTCATTTGTTGGGGTTACTGAATAATTTAAAATCAAATCAAATCAACTTGAATTCACATCGATGAGAAACTAAATCAATCCTTCGTTGATTTCTTGTGAGCTCTCACATGTTTATTAAATTCAAAATCTGAAGCTTGTTAAAGTATCATTTACAGTTAAGGTCTTTGGTAAATGATTTCCATAAATTACCTGGCTTATTTATTTTGCATTTATCAATTCCCATAAAACTGCTTATCGACAAATTTCTTCACACTCTCATATATCAAAGATCGTAGCAGCCAGAGAGCTGGCAGATTAGTACACTTAATATTTAAGCTGAATCTGATGTCAACCTGTTTGGTTCCCCTAAGCCGAAAAAAAAACAAGAATATCTCTGTCGAATCACTTTAGTCAGTTGCAATAAATTAGGTAAGTTTGGAGGTTGCTCGGCAATCGGAATTTGAGTTTGGAGTGATGTTTTCGCATTCAATGATTAACATTCATTGCCAATTCAAGTCAATTTTCGCAGACATAAAACTCAGCTCAGCTCGGCTTGGATCAGCTCAGCTCAGCTGAGATCAGCTCAGGTTGGCGACAAGCTATAAATATGACCAATATTTAATGCCAACTAACGGCAACGTCTTCATAAGTCAAACGTGTCTCAGCGCAGCCTCGGCTCGCAGCACCTACAAGTCGTAGATATAATCATAATTTCAGCTGCTTTTTATAACCAAATATACATGAAAACAAAGCATTCAGAGGTCTCATCTTCTTCTTCTTCTTCATCATCTGTTTCTTTTTTTTTTCTGGCTTTTGGCATGTCATAAATAAATGTTATAAATAGTATCATATCGGATGAGCCAGCAGCAGCAGCAGCAGAAGCAGCCACATGGAGCTACCTCCTCAGCTACAGGCGGCCTGCCGCTTGTCTTGTCTAGCGATAAATTACAGTTAGAGCTGTACCTACCGTATACGCCACGGCTTGAGCTGCGACCAAAAACCGAGACCTGGTTGTGCGCATTTTTAAGGTGTGACCAAAAGCGAACGAAACTCGTAATTTTTTAAATTAGCATTTTACCCTCTCTCACTCTCACACACACACACTCGGTCTCTTCTTCTCTTTCAGTGCGTGTTGTCATAAAACCAAATTTACAAATTGTCCCCCAACAGCAGAGGGAAAATAAAAAAGGCACAAAGAATCAACTCATATGCGGCCTATGGCTGCGACGACATAGACATCATCGACATCATCAGAGAGTGGAAGCTGCAGCTGCAGTTGGAGTTGAAGTTGAAGCTGGAGTTGGAGTTGGAGGGAGCTCTCAGGGCCGACGATAAACTCATCAATAAATTGCCTGTTGTCTGGCTGTGGTTTGAGAGACAACAAACGCGCGACACCACCAACGCACTTGATGATGTGTCCACCGAGAGTCCAGCACTCTTCGCCGTCGTCGCATCTTCCCATCTTCCCATCTCCCTGCTCTGGCTGCGTTTCGGGTGGTCGGAATTTCTTTTTGGTGAAGCGCGTGGCTAAGTGGATTTGTGTGTTCGTTGGTGCGCGAGAAAAATGTTTATTGTTTCAACATTGTTATCAGCCTTAAGTAAACAGACTCTGCTCAATTTTTGATTTCTAATTTGTTTACCCACACCACAAATGGAAACAAATTTTTGCTTATTTACGAGCGTAACTCTCAACTGACCAACTGACCAACCGGAAGAGCTAGAGTGACAGAGCGAGAGAGAGGGAGAGAGAGGGAGAGCATCTCTTCGACATTAGTCTTTTCCACACTTTGTGCTCTTATCTTAGCTTGACCAAGGAATTTCTTTCATTTTGTTCGAGTCTCGAATTTGTCTGAATTTTGCTCAGAATTTATTAGTACAAAGAAGGCGCGTGGTTGCATCATCAATCAGTTAGGACCCTCGACTTATATAGAGAGACCAAGAGACCAGCCAGAGACCAAGCCACCGCAACCGCAGCATCTTTAACGCTTCGCGCGAACCTAACAAATTAATTTTGTCGACTCGCCTGAGCTTGGCTCTGCTCTGCTCTGCTCGGCTCTGTGGCTTTTTATATTTGTAGGTAGCTGATGACATAAACGGGTTAAGGATAGTCGCTTAGTCATGTTGCCATGCCATAGAGTACCTTAGTTAAAAAATTAACATCTATATAGCTGAAATTGCATATGCTCAATGATGGACTGATGGATCGATTCGAAATAAATGAAACTAGAGAGCGAGTTGGCAAGAGTTTGGATAGGATTTGGTTGCACAAAAATATGTTATCTTCATTGAATAACCAGCTTTAAGTATTTATTTTTATTAAAATAAATAATAGGAAAATAATACTTTAAGATTAACAAAATTCGAATAACCTAAAAAAATAAAATAAAAATTATTTTTAAATTAAATTTTCTTTAAATAAATAATAAAAAAAATAAATTTCTTTTTACAAATTTGAATGAATAAAAAAAAAAAATTGAAATAAATTGTGACAGAGTTACATTTCAACTATAAGCATAATGCTCTCTCAAGAACCTTTAATACCCATTCTAGGCTGTCATCCCATTCATATTCAATAAAAATTCAATCTCATTCATACAGACAGCTCTCCTGGCGGTTTCAGTGCCCTTTCTGTTTTCTTATTCCCATCAGAATCACTTAGCTCAAAACTCTTTTAGTTTTATGTGTTTTATGTGTGACACATCAAATGCGCATTTGTCAGTTGCGTTTGGTGCCATGCCCCATTCAATCGGCTGCTCCTGCTCATAGCTAAGCCGACAGTTGTGACATTATGGCGCTCGGTTGATGCCCAATTAGGTTGAGCTATGTCAACGATTACGACACCCAATAACAAAGAGCAATCAGATGCAGATACAGATACAGATAGAGATACGAATATACAGATACACACTCAGGCTAGCAGAGGTCCAACGCTAAGCCGCTGCAGGCGAGCGATAAGCCCAGCCACACAGAGATCCCAGCTAAGTAGCGTCGCAGCTCCTTAAAACCCAGCAGATGCACGTAACAATTCAATTCTCTCTCACTCTCTCTCACGCACTCTTTCTTTCTATCACTTCGGCTCAATTACGAGCATTTGAGATCAGCGATGCATATAACCAGCTATATATCCGGGTACCTAAGCAAAGCAGGAACTGCCGTTGACAGTTAACGGGCCCATTTCGAGTGGTGCAGGACAATGGCTGCCCTGCGGATGGATATATATTTCACGCTTATCAGCACCCGTTATATGGTATCCCTTGTCCGTGCTATCCCGCCAGCCCTTCATCCCCTGCGCCCAGCAGCCAGCACCCAACATGGTTCACAAATTGCTGCCAGACGCCGTCGCTTATCCGCGCCTTGTTTTTGTTGTTTATTAGCTTAATAATTTGTGCCCACTTTAGAAGGTCTCACACACTCACTCACCAACTGGTGGTTGAACATGCGGTAGGCGTGGCATGGTGTAGATTACATGCGAAACAGTTGCTGCTAATGGGCCTGCTGCGTGAGGGTAAGTCCGCTCCTAACGGGGGTAGCTCAACCCCCGGAGGAATCGGCAACCATGCTGAGATAATTAAATCAACATTCGGGGGGCGGGTAAAGCGCGTTAAGTGTTTGAAGTTCGTTTTGATTGCCATTTATCGTTTATCGCTCGTCGTTTATCGTTCAATCGTTAATCGTGTCTAGCCCATGGCAAATTGTTTCTCTTTTTGCGTCATGATCTGCGCTCTGTGTGTGTGAGAGTGTGGGCTGCTTTTCTTATCTCTGTGTGGTGGGCGTTAACAGCTCTCGCAAAGTAAACAAAACATTTTTGCATATCTTAAATGGATATCTGACTTCTGCTTTGAAGTAGAGCCAGCTACTCTATAAACATTGTTGAATCTGGTGCAAAATATTCAACGAATCACTAGGGGGTAATTGAGGGTGAATATATGAGACGGTGTTGGAGATGGATGAAAAGATTTCTTGGAAACAACAAATATGGACAATTTAAATACTTTTACAATTTACATATATAACAAAGGAATTCTTCAGTTCTTCCAATTTATGTTTTCCTTTCAAATACGTTCCTTAACTCCTCCAGCAATTATGGAAAGTTTTTCAAATACTTCATATTAGACTATATTTCAATATTCCTAGATTTCTTCCAATTTATGTCTTATGCTCGTCAAATCCTCTCCATCAATTTTCCAGCACTCGTTTAACCTATTTCAAGTACTTCAAATATGCCCGCTCTTTAGTCAGCCTAGTTGATATGCAAATAGAAAGATTTCACTAATGGCCTATTAATCACTTGTCCAAATAAGCGACGAGGCACCAAAGAACCAGGCCGACGATTCACATGGAAAACGTTGAAGAAATCCCACACATTGTTAATCCTTAAATACACACAATTCGAATACAGTTTGTAAACCAGTCCTAAAGCAAAAAAAAAAATATTTCTTAAATGTCATATTTTCACTAGAAGATTGCAAGATCCAAATGAAAGAGAGCGAGAGAGAGGGTGCTAGTGCGAGTGAACGGAAATTTACAACTGCGACAATAGCAACAACTGGGCGGTTATTACAACACCTCGGCCAGAGAGACAGACGCTTAACTCCATATTTGTTGACAAATACTCAAAGAGGCCTGGCAAACAGAGAGAGAGAGAGAGGGAGAGGTAGAGGCAGAGTTGAAGGGGGATTGGGGCTAAGGCTAGGGGTTTCCGGGCACAGACGATATCCGTGCAAAGCAATCTTGTCACTATATTATGACGTTAATGACAAATTGACGGCGAAATGCCTTTGATGTGTGTGTTGTTTGATTGTTTTTGGTTCTAATCATGCCGACTGCCGCCGAGGTAGTTCAGGCCAACGGGCTGCCCAAGGGGTGGGCGAGCAGTGGTTGGGTGGGGCTGCTGCTGCTCAAATGATTTTCGTTTTCATTTAACCGCGCGTCCCCTCAATTAGCTGACTCTAACTCTAGACTAAACGGATCTTATCAGTGCCCAAAAGCCATATAACCCAGTAAATATATATATAGAGATATATGCCCTAGTCACTCGCTCACCCACTCTCGCTCTCCCTCTCTCTGTCTCTCTCTCTCTCTCTCTCTCTCCTTGTTGGCAGAGATAAGCCGCTGCACTATCTGCCGTGTGAGTGTGGTTAGTGTTGGGCTCTATTCAGCTTAGGTCTGTTTGATGATTATGTGTCGAACACAACTCGCTGCGGCGACTGCTCCGTGCTACGTGCCGCGAACTTGTCAAACAAGCCCTGGGCAAATACTGACAGGGGCGACAGAGAGAGAGAGAGAGAGAGAGCGAGAGAGGGTCAGAGTGAGAGAGGGTGAGAACGAGAGAGTAGGCATCCAAAAAGTGCAGAGCTCATTGCCTGTCAATTATATTGTACTGCTCTCAACTTGAAATACTTACTCGCTTCACATTTGTCGCATTTGTTTGCATTTGCGCCCCGAGTGCCATAAAAAAAAAGAACGAGCGAGTCGGCTGCATCAAGGCTCAACAGTTATAGCTAGAATGTATGCGTATACATATACATATGTATATACTATATATATATGTATATTTGTCAACGCTAAGCATTCTCGAGACTGTGACACACCCGCGGGGCCTTGACAGCTACCCCCTTTGCCAGGATGGCCGTCGGCATAGCGCGCACCGTCCAATAAAATCTAATTACCTCTTGGAGCGCTGCGTAAGCATTGCCTATCTATTCACTTGCACGAGTTTCGGCAGCTTTTCTTCTCCGAACGGTAGAGTTGCCGTTGGAGTTGGAGTTCGAGTTGGAGCTGCAGTTGGTTTTCAGAGACCCCAACTAGTTGGCTGCCAGTTCCAGAAATTGTGCTTCGACCATTCTTTATGGTCGTTTGGCGTCGGCAATTCGCTGCGAGTCTTCAGAAGAAGTGTCGTTTGGTATGCTAGCATAAGAAGAAGACGAAGAAGGCGACAGACTTAAGAGAGTTGTAATAATACATGCAAATGAGGTTAAAGGTACAAGCTGCAAAATAAGCTCTGAGCGCTATTCTATTATGTCTCCGAGCCACTTTACTGTAGGAATTTGTGTGCGAGTATTAGAAATTTATTCCAACCAAAGGCAGATATGGAAATTATTTAAATACAACTATGTCTTGAGTGATTCGATTATATTTTAATTATGCTGTGATCTTCAGGGGGAGCATTAGAAATTGACTTTGAGAATTGTAATTGATTGTTATATGGACTATAAGGAATTCATTTATTATTAATTTAAATCTAAATTATTATTATTAAAATAATTTGTTTTTATTAATGAATTTAGTTAGTTCAGCTTTGTGATTTTTATGCGTTAAATTTGGAATGAACAAATAGGATATATGTTTTTAGAGGAACTACATATTAGTTGATATATATAGCCTTGATTTGTTGAATATGAATCAAACTTAAAAGTAAACCACGAAGAGCGCAGCAAGAGCAAAAGATATATTCTTCCTCTAGCCTTCATGGTAATGTTCTTAACTAAGAGCTAAGATACTAAGCTAACTATATATAGGTCTAACTTATTAAGGTTAATCTCATCCAATGAAAAGTCCCATTTATAATCTCTATCATCATTGCTTTCAATTTCCATTCAATCATCAAACCAAACCCATTTTAGCCAACCGACTCCTTGTTAAATATTAAATGGCATGTCTAAGACTCAGACCTCAAGCTCTTTGGCTTGCAGGAGATGCTAGCTCAAGGGCTAGCTAGCTTGGTGTGTGTGCCTCCAATATATAAAAACATTTACAATACGACACCTAATTAGGCACAAGAACGCCGCATAATTTACGTTTACGTTGCGTCAAACGTTGGCGCAGCGACGTCACTCAGACTCACTCAGACTTAAAGTCAAAAGTCTTTGGGCGAAAAATGGGAACGCCAGCGGCGATCTTTTGGGCTGGACTTGGTCAGGAGATGGAGATGGAAATGGAGAAAAGGAAGGAGGAGGAGATGGAGAAACGTACATCAGCGCTGTGCAAACATGGGGATTCGTTCTCTATTGAGGTGCCGTCAGTTTTTGACGGGTTGGTGGGGCCTCCTCCAGACAGAGGCACAGAAACAGACACACATACATCAAATCATAAAGCAAATGGTGCCGACAAACTAACTGGACGAACAGAACACACCAAGGTAGAGCAGACCAGACGAGCATGACATTTACATTCACATTCACCTAAATACAACAACGACAACAACAACGAAGAACGTTCCGCTTTTTTGCGTTGGTTCCGGGAAACGCAACAAAATTTCACAAGCACAACGAAAATATTTTCAACATCAACTTCAAAGAAACCAAAAACCAAACCAAACCAAAACCAAAGCCAAACCAACTTGCCACGCCTCAAACACTAGACACAACATTGTTGTTGTAGTTACAGTTGTTGTTGCAAATCGAACTGCTGTTTGGTGATGGGCTTATTAGAGTTTAGCCAGTGCTCGAATACGTATGGCGTCCGTACGTCCAGCTCTAACATTGTCAATGGGGCGTTGCGGAAACCTCAAAGCAAAATTTAGTGCGCTCACTTCCAGTGACCGACGGAGCGAGCGGAGGCTTTATGACGACAATGCGTTTGCTGTCATAATTATTAGTCAAACACAAACAATGAATTTCATAATTTTCCCATCAATATATGTATGTATGTATGGATGTGGAGAGACGGCAACGGTCCGCGGTATAGGCCGAGCGTTAAATGTTTAAACATCCGCTCGCCCGCACGCGCCTCCTGCTGCTGCTCGCCTCACAGAGCTGAGGCTGTGCCGCAGCTGAAGCTGAAGCTGGGGCTGGAGCTGGAGCTGGAGCTGGAAATGAAGCCGTCGCGCATAAAGTGTGAAATTGCTGGCAATTCGCAGAGACGCTGCTTCAAACTGTAACCGAGTCTGAAGAGACTCCATCCAGTACGCGGTCCGCAGTCCACAGTCTCGGCCAGCTGGAGCTCGGCTTGGCTCGGCTCTTTGGCTAATGGCCCAAAACGTTGTCGCTGGTGCTGGAACATGTCTCGTTCTCGTGCTTGTTCCATTGAATAGAACAATATCCGTGCAAATATTTGCAGAGAGCGAGGCGCGTGTTTAACTGTTGCCACAGTCACAGCAACAGCAACAACAACAGCCAAAGGTAAAGGCAATGGCAATGGCAATGGAGAGGGGCGTGAGACGGCGGGGTCTGGGGCTGGTCAAGAGCTGTGGCACCATAATTGTTGTTTGATCGTTGTAATTGGTTTGTGCAGGAAATGCATAACTACGTCGTTTGTTGGCGGCTTCACATTGATCCGTTTAACGCTAGAGACAACAATATCGCCGAGACGGAGCGAGCGAGATGGACAGTTGTCGACTTGGTCGGCTTTAGGCTTTTGAACTTGGCCCAAGTTGAACGCATCTTTGTCGATCATAAAAACTTGTTAGCTTTGTGGCGCAAGAGGAGACAGCTGCCAGCTGGCCCAGCCCCGGGACTCCCCTCTCCCTCATGTGGGTGGGTGGGCGTCGCAGTAATAGCGCCTGCTCCACAATTCCATGTCATTGGCTTGTCGGACATTGTTTGGCTAGGCGATAAGGCGAACGGACGGCAACCGATGGGAAAATAGTCGAGTAGTCGCATTGTCTCAGGGCCCGTCTGTTGTCGTTTCGGTTGTCAAAGGCTTGTTCGGCCGTGGAGTGTACGCCTTAATGGTACATTAATTGCCCGTGTTGGCACTCGAGCGATAAACATCGCTACAAATATTTGATTTCTCTTTTTCGTTTTGCTACAAGTGTGCAAACAGTGTTAACTACGTGTGAGAAACTAGAACTATGATCACAGCATGGCTGGGTGGGGGGCATGCTAACGAGGTCAGATCGCCAGACGAAAGGAGCGCAACAGGAAGCACTCTAAGCACTCGAGAATACGCTGGAAATTCCTTTGTAGACTCAACTGAATGAAAGTCCTGAGCTCCGTTTTGTTAACTCATTTCCTGGGAAGTAAGTTTTTCCTACTAAAGTACTTTCCTTGAGCTGAGAGATACAAATTTCATTGATTTGAATTAATTTATGTTTTTATTCATATTAAGTTATCTAATAATAGAGTTTGTCAAAGAAAATTTAGGAATCGACATTTAAAAATTATTTTTCTACAAAGTTCTTTAAATTCGTGAAATTATATATTTTTGAAATTTCTTTCTAGAGATCTGATGTAAAAGTTCTGGAATTCGGATTCATTCTTGTATATTTTCTATTTTCAAAATTGTCTTTATAGCATATTTGTTTTATGATAATTATGATTCTGAATATTAATTACCTGTAAAGTTTATGCGAGCAACGTCTCTGACCTATATCCAAAATCTCAATAATAAAAAACTTTTCATTTAAGTACTTCCATTAGGCTATATCATTTATTCGATAATACGATAAGAGTCCACAATTTACTCATACATCTATTTATATATATTATAATATATCCAAATAAAGTCAAACTTTCGATATATATTTCTATGTTTCAGATATCCAATAAATTACCAACTAAGAAATATCATTAGCTTAAATCGTATAGTCTAGACACAAAGAGAACTACGAACTATATTAAATGCTGTTAGCTGTAAGCAACTTGGAGGCCACGAGACGAGCAACACAGATCAGACACATTGTGGAGGGATTCGAGTTCTTGAGAGCTGCAGATGAGATTGAGATAGCGCCTCCCATGCTTGATAGACTGGGAGGTCACAACACGTGATACGTTGAGTAGAATCGGATTTGCCAGTGGCCTAATCGCTGACGGCCACAAGGTCTCGGCTTGTGGCTGAGCCAGCTGATCCGGCGCCAGTTGAATTGGGCAGTACCATCGATAGGCCCAGATCGGAGCTGGAGCCGTTGCTGCTGCCGCCGAATAGATCGCCCAGGCCTCCGGACATTCCGCCCGTGGCCGACAGATTATGCGTCAAACTGTGGCGCCGCAGATCACAGTTGCGCCGAAACACCTTGCCGCAGGAGGCGCAATTGTAGGGCTTGATGTCCGTGTGGGTGAGTAGATGGGTCTTCAGATTCGAGCGCTGATTGAAGGAGCGATTGCACACGGGACACTTGTGCGGCGACTCCTCCATGTGCAGAATCTTGTGCACGGCCAGGGTGCGCGACTGGCAAAAGCCTTTGCCGCACTCGGCGCACTTGAAGGGCTTCTCCTTGGAGTGAATGTACCTGATGGCGGAAGGGAACAGACGAAAGGGTGATCAAGTTATTAAAATGTGAAAATATAAGTGAATAAATCATTTCATTCTGTATTCATTTTTACTCGATTTTAACTAAAGTGATCTTTAGCTTAATCATAATTAAACTAGACCAGTTCATCCTAACTCAATTCCATACCATGCAAACACTGCAGTGTTGAGTTTGCAAGAGGAAATAAAGATATTCTTATAAAGCTTGACGAAATAATATTGTCAATCGCTGAAATGCTTAAATTAGTAAGTCGAATTTCAGATAAATTCTTATATAAATTTGTTTACTTTTAAAAAGTTGCAATAAAGTTAGTTAAGTTTCGTTAAATGCCATACTGTTACAAAAAATATGAATGATCATTACAAAATCCTTTCGTTAAATTTAAAATACTTTCGTTAAGTCGTAAATTGATTACACAAACTTTTAAAGTGCTTTCGTTTAAGTTATGAATGCATTCGATGAGCTGTGAAATACTTTCGTCAAGTTGTGAAATATGCTCGTTAAGTTATTGAATATAGTTTTGAAATTAAGAAATACTCTCGTTAAGTTGTGAAATACGTTCGTTGAACTAAGACTTTAATGCAACTTTACTTTCTGCCCTTCTGCCTAATCCCCATTTCCTTATACAAATCGACATTGTTTGCTTCTTCTTATCTCACCTATGATCTCTCAGATGATCCTGACGCCTAAATGCTTTGCCGCATATGTCACAGGAGTAGGGACGCTCGTCCGTGTGGGTGCGTTCGTGGATGAGCAGATTGTAGGACTTGGTGAACTGGCGATTGCAGAACTTGCAGATGAATTGCTTCTTCGAGCGCTGGGCAGCAGCCGCGGCAGCCGTGGAGCTGTTGGCCCCATCCTCTGCACCGCTGCCGGCGCCGGCCGCCATGACGCTCAGCTTGTCCTGGTACATGGTGGCCTGCAGCGAGTGTAGCGAAGTATCCGCATCGGCGGCCCCAAAGCTGCTGGGATTGAAGATGAAGCTGCCGTAGCTGCTGTCCAGATCGCCAGCCTCAAAGGACAACGCATCATCGCCGTCGAGCAGCGGCAGATCACACTCGGCTGCCAGTTCGGCAGCTGTGGCACAATCCAGCGCCGCCTGCTGATTGGCTGCAGCGGCGGCCGCGGCAGCAGCAGCGGCCACAGCGGCGCTCACAGTGCTAATTGAGGGCAACGGCGGAATGCACTTGGATGTGTTAGAAGAGCAATTGTTGTTGTTGTTGCTGCTGTTGTTGTTGTTGCTGCTGTTGTTATTGTTGCCGCTGCTGTTAGAGTTGCTGCTAGTGCTGCTGCTGTTGTGGCTATTGCTGCTATTGTTATTGTTATGGTTGCTGCTGGGTGAACTGGTCACAGTTGCTGAGACGCTTGAAGCGCTGGAGGAGCAACTGGACTTTAGCTCAATACTTGAAATGTCAATTAGTGTGGGCAATGTCGCATTCTGCTCGGCGTCGCTGTTGTTGTTGCTGCTGTTGCCGGTACTGTTGCCGCTGCTGTTGCTGCTGCTGTTGCCATTACTGTTGCTGTTGCTGCTGCCACTAAATCGAAACACATCCGATTTGCCAGTGAGTCGCTGCAGTGCCAAATAGGATTCGAGCGCCTGCAAATTGAGTGCTGCTGCTGCTGCTGAATTGGCCGGCAGCAATGCCGCCTGCTGCAGGCTGCTGACCATGGTGCCCTGCAGCGACAGAACGACAGCGGCAGCTGCTGCCAAGTCATTGGTGGCTGCTGCTGCTGTTGCCGTTGCAGCGGCCATTGCTGCTGCACTCGATTTGCTGGCCACAGCAACTGTTGCTGATGTAGCGCTAGATGCTGTTGTTGCTGCTGTTGCTGCTTTGCCTGTTGCTGTTGATTGAACTTCTGTCTTTTTGAGCTGTTGCTCAACGCTGGCTGTTGTCGTTGTCATAGCTGTTTGCTGCTTGTTGTTGTTACTTTTGCTGGCTGCAATTGTTGCTGCTTCAGTTGCTGCTGTTTCTAGCGGCTCTGACGTATTACAGGCGTCTGCTGCTGCTGCTGTAGTTGTATTGCCTTGCTGTTGTTGTTGCAATGTTTGCATAGTGTCGTCGTTGTTGTTATTGTTGTTGTTGCTGGTGGCGGTGGTGGTGGTGGTGTTTGTGGTATTGTTGCTATCGTGCTTGCCAGCTGCAGCAGCGGCAGTCAATTGCTTCGCTGCATCCATAAAAAGCCCAAAACACTGATCCACTGATCCACGCACACACAGCAGGATATCGAGCCAGCAACTTGGCCCGTGGGCACCAGAGATGCAACGCCTGCTGTTGTTGTTGTTGCTTTTGTTGTTGTCCGGTTATTGGTGCTGGCTTTGAAATTTGCTTTTCTGTTTTGTTATTGTTGTTGTTGCTGTTGTTGTATTTGTTTTTTATTGTTTGGCGCACCTACGCAGGTTGAGTGTGGCTGTTTGGCTGGCTGGGCTAGTGGTTTGCTGCTGCGCTTGGTTCGTGGCTTTTGACTTTGCACATGAATATTAAAAACCACACGCCATCATAAATCACGCCTTAGTCACGCTTTCAAAAGTCATAAAAATCGAATTTGACGTTCCAAACGGCAAACAGGCCAAAATGAAAACAACAAACACAAAAATACACTGAAATCACTGCTGACAACAACAACAACAAACAACCAACCACAACAACCACAATAGCGAGATGAGCACGAATGGGGGTTGGGGTAGAAGCAGCAGGCACACGTCCAGCGAGTGGATCAAATGACGTCTCACACGCGCTGCAAAAGCTTTCAAGCTTGGCCCACAGCAGAGAACAAGAAAAGTTTTGATAATGTGGGCGTTATTGTCACAGAGAACTTTTGGCGATAGGAGAGTTCAAACACAGTTAAAGTTTTGCTTTTTTTTATACTCGATTTCAATTTAATCGATTTCTTTTTTCACACTTCCGTTAATAACTATTTATGTATATAGCGATGTGCGTTTTATTTGTTTTTGATTGAAACCAGGGGCGGATTTGCTGCTGCTGCTGCTGTTGTTGCTCTGCGATTAGCCGTTGTGCCGTGTGCGCTGCACAATATTGGTAAAAGATCACGGAATAACTAAAAGTCCATTGCTCTGCGAGCGGCGCGCGGACCTGGACCTGTGCTCACTTGTTGCCGTTTGTCGTTTCGTCTGACCAAAAAACGCGTCTCTCACCAATACACATGCTCGCACACACACACACACACGCCCAGCACACTTCACTGAGTGAGCGCAACAGACAAACGATCGCAAAAGTAAGAGAGAGCGAGTGGGAGAGAGAGCGCGAGGGAGCGCGCTCACACAGCAGAGAGCGCGCTCTGAGTGAGAGCAAAGCGTGAGTGCAATGCAGCCAGGTGTTGGTAGCTGCTGCAAACGAAACTCGTTTCGGCGCTGCCATCTCTTGAGCACTCACACACACACTCGCTGCAGAGAGCACGATCACACACACACATACAGCAAATGCTAACCGGTTATTGGCGCTCGCAGTTGTTGTTAATATGGCAAACGCTTATTTTTGAGTGGGTGTTCTTTCGCAATTGCTTTAGAAGTAATCGCTGCGATTGCTGTTATTGCTGCTGTTGTTGTTGTTGCTGCTGTTGTTGTTGCTGTGCACATAATTTGCCATTTCTTGTTTGATTATTTACTTAGCTTTGGCAATTTTGTTGCTGCATTTGTTTATGAGTTTCACTTTTCGCATTTCTTTCTGATTGTCGTCTTTCTCATCCGCCTTGCTGAATTATTTAATTTCGTTCTTTCGTCTTCTTAACTTATATATATTTTGTGTAGCAATTATGTAGTATATCATTTTATTTGTATGCCCAAATCCAGGCACGGGGCCTGTTTCGAGAACTTGCTCGAGAGATCCGAACAAATCGCTGATAGCCTTGAGCGATAGTTAAAGTCGTTGCTTGCACTTGACGATGCGTTGCTCGTAGCCAGGGACTTGATTTGGGATTAATGTAGAATAGGAATATAAATATTCGCTTCGACTCAATTGATTCGCTTTCATTTTTTTACTGAAAACAAGTTAATTGAATGGAAATGCTTGATTGATTAAGTGTCCGTTTAGACTAGACAAAAAATATTTTAGTTAAATAACATTTTAAATTAATTGAAGGTCCAAGTAGGGTTTATTTGTATGCTTCAAAATATCTTGGCTTAACACAAATTCAAGTAGTAATGTTTTTTTTTTTTTTAGCACATTTCTTTAAGAAGAAGAAGCTTTTTACCAATTAAGTGAAAGCGTAAGTGGTAATGAATTTTTCGATCAGCTTTACACACATCCAAATAATACCACTTCGGAACAGTTTGTCTTACTGTCGTAAATGAAGGAAGAATAGGATCAAGAATATTTATAGTAGTATCAGGGAACGTAGACGAAGTAATACTAATAATAGTAGTAGTAGGAATAATGGTAGTAAAAGTACGAGTATTAATAGTAGCAAAAATAGTAGTAGTAAAAGTAGGAGTATTATAACCAAATGGGTCTATTGGAAATTTCAAACTTTCGAGCTTCTTAAATGAAAAATAAAAATGTTGCCTAAAGCTAACTTTCAGAGTTACTAGTGTACAAGATCATAATAATATTCGCCTTACATATTTTAGTTATTTATGGCCGATATATTTATTTCTTATGCCCAAAAATATATAACAATTAATTGCAGCATTCAAAAGTTGTAAAAATTTGAATAACACCTTAACAATCGAATTTTATTTTTATACAAAGTGAGCCACTTGGATTTCTCAGTATAATATAAAGAAGCTATAAAAATATTTCACTAGAAATCGGCGAATCACCTGTGAAGTGCATATCGCCACAATTCTTATCTTTGCAATATATAAAGTAGGCTATTTGCACACTTTTTGACAGAGCTGCAAAAACAGTTGACCCGCTTTAAAAATATTTCTCACAATGAAAATTCAATTTTAAGATCAACAGCAATGATTTCTCTCAGTGTAATAACCTGCTAGCTGTTGCCCATTAGCGAACGCGTTGATTTCATGGGGCCGTAGGCGCTACCCCCAACGAATGTGTGTGTTGTCTGCCAGCTGCCCCCCACTGCAGCTGCAGCTGCAGCTAGCAAAGCACACGCCCCACAGCTGTGAATGCCGATGCATATGCAGTTGCAGTTGCAGGGATAGGCAGAAGGACAGACACCGACACACTCGCATACACAGATGCAGTCACAGAGATGCAGAGAGAATCACAGCTGCAAGTCGAACGCCCAGAATTGTGCAAGAGCCAGACGCAAAGTTGGGATTGGGTCTACACTTACACGTCCAAGATTTCAACTGTCAATTATTTCTGTATGCATAAAAGTTGAACTGTGGGACTCGCCAGACTCAGAGTCAGAGTCGGAGAGATGCTCGGAATTTTATGAATTTTAATGCGCTAAACGGCGCAAGTAAATGACCAATAATCATGGGAGCTGCCTGCTCCGGCTGCCGGTTGGTCAGATCCGGCTTCAGTTCGAGAGCTTCACGTTTGCGGTCGGCGGTGCAATTTATTTTTGCATTAAATTGCAATTTGGCCAGCGAGCTTCAGTGGGCAGCGGGGCAAATGCACAGTTTTTCTACCATTTATACAGATATTATCATGATTAATAATGCACAAACATGTCATACGCTCGTTTCGTGTGTGTTTGATTGGAGCGCATTAGGAGCGCGCCTGGTAATGATCGAGGACTGGACCTGAGCTGAGCTGACCGAAGAAGGCGAACACTCAACGTCCACCGGCTCTGGATCTGTATCTGCCTCTGTCTCTGTCTCTGTCTCATCCCACGGTAGCAATTATGTCGCTTAGTGCGCCCAAACGTTCGCTTATGATGATCTGTGCGGCGTCGGCGCCTTCAAAAGATTAGCGATCGCAGAAATCGCAGCGATCGACTGCACTCCAAGGCAAACTCCATGGGGCTTTCGTATATTCGTATTTCGTATTGACACAAGCTTCCTTTAAATGGCTCTTCTGCTTCCTCTCTTGCTCTCACTCTCTCCCTCTCTCTCCCTCTCTCTCTCTCTTGTCCCTCTTTGACAAACTCTATCTCCCTCTATCTTACTTTGAGGCAGCTTAATGTCGTTACATTTCGATAGTCGCGCTTTTAAATGCGCGTTTCCTGTGCCGCTCTGTCAGGGACACGATCGACGATCAGATCCACATCCAGGCGCTGGCAACTCAAGGCAAATGGTACATGATTTCAAATTTCAAGTACCAGTTTACATACATATATAGAACGTTCGGCTAGCCAAGCAACAGCAACAAAAACAAAAACCAGTCGTTCGCTAAAGTCTTCGACTCGCGGCTCGGGCTCCATTCGCCGTCTCCAACTCTGAGCCTGATGCTGCGTCTGCTGCATCTGGGCCTGGGCCTGGGCCTGGGCATGGGCTTGGGCTCGAGTTTGTGCCTGGGTCTGGGCACGGGAATGCCTTGCAGCCTTACACCATCTGTCACAGCGAAAGGCGCGCATTCAGATCGGCAATAAGAATGCGCTAAACTTGATTCCTTAACGCTGTGCGCGCATGCGTGGGCTGGAATTACATGATCACGATCAGCGATAAAACTTGATGTTGTACATAGCAGGCAACATGAGCGGCAACGGGCAGCGGGCGGCGGACATTGGACAGCGGAGAGCAGAGAGCGGGCAGAGGGACTTGAACAGGAACAGGGACTGGGACAGGCCAGCGAGGCACAACAAACTTCACTGAAAACCAAGAGCCAAACAAAATGTCGCAAAGCTTTACAAGTATATATATGTATATATATTTATTTATATATACTATATATTTACAAGGCCTTATATGCAGGCAGCCTGAAAATAACGGAACATGCACTTAATTGAATGTAAATTATTGTCACATTTGGTTTTCTTATATTTAACTGCATTTCATTTCATTTCATTTGAATAAGAGCAACAATTATAAAATTTAAAATAATGATAACAATCAGCTCATTTTTGATAATACAATAAGAAAATTATATAAATATTTTAATATTATGTAAATAAAATTGAAATTAACGAAAATAGTTTAAATTGTGTGATATGACATACGGAAAAGTATATGTATATAAATTAGTTGCCTAAAACTTTTTGCATCAAGTTAGCCTTGAAAATTTATCCGACAATTCCTTGAAGAGATGAAGAATACTGTTTATTTGAAGTCAGTTCTAATTCACAACTGTGAGAAGTACTATCAAAAAAAATAAAAAATTAAATTAAATATTTTCAAGAATTTTGGTAAATTTTGTTAAAATAAAATAAAAAGTTCGTATAGAGAAAGCATACGCATTCTTAGTAACTATTTATAGTGAAAATTAAAATGGAACGACCAAAACGTAAAGCCCATAAGAACGCGACCATAACAAACCTTTTGCGTTCGATATCTACTTCCAAGCCTGTGGCACCTAAGACTAAGACGGTTTCCACGCAAACCGAACCGATGCAGGAAGAAAATTTCGATGGGAAGAGATCGATAAAGCCCAAGCCAAAAGGGCTGCAGGAGAAAAAGCCGGATTTGCCCGAGGATGTGCCTGTCGCTGAGATGGGCAAGCCGGGCACCAAGAACAAGGCATCTCAGACCCAGAGGATTGTACAGAAGCGTGTCAAGTGTGAATCGGTGTTGGAGACTCTGGAAGCCACGATGCGAAAGAGGCGCAAAATGTCCAATGAGGAGGATCGAATGCGCCTGAAGAGGCTCATGGCCGAAATCAACAACGATCCGCCGCCTAGCTGGAACATCGCCTCGCTCATGTGGCTGGACGTGGATGTGCTGGAGCGGCGCATCGAAGAATATGAAAAAGAGGAAGAAGAGAAAAAAAATAAATCAAAAAGAAACAAGAAAGAAGGAGATGATTAAAAAAAAAAGTAAAAACAAGAGAGACAGTAAACTGATGTGGAATATAATATAAAATATATAATATACTATTAATTAATTCGTCAATATTAAAATGAGATAATTGGAGATCTCACGGAACTCTTCAGGAACTGAACAATACAGACACACGCTGTATACCAACTATAATCTGTAAGCAGGCGAACTGTATTTTATATGTGTGCTAACGCATATCTAAAAATTAAATATATAATTATTTTTGCAGTATTCGACAGAGATGGAGGCGGCCAGATATCTAAAGTAAATTCAAGGACCTCATAAACCGAAGGATTTTTTTCCCCCAATTGTCAATATTCAAAACAAAAATAGCAACATGAACTTACATTGAAGATTCCAATTTTTTTATATATTATTTCATATTTCAATTTATGGCATAATTTATTTTTTTATTTTATTTTATTTTTTTATTTTTATTTTTATTTTATTTTTTTTTTGAATTGTATTGGTAAATTATATTTAAAATGTGCAATGATAATACATACAATAAATAAATAGAATATAAAATAAATTAAATAATAAAAAATATATATATCAAATTATAGTTGATATTAGTAATCTGTTTCAACTGTAGATTTAATACTTATGTATTCTACATGTACAAATCAATACAATTTTTACAATCTTCTATATTAATAATAATAAGAAAGCTTTAAATGAAGCATATATATGATATACATATTTCCTAGTCAATGTCAATGTCAATGTCAATTTAAATTCACTTTCAATAAAATTACAAATAATAAATGTCGAAACATCTAGATTCCTATTTTACATGGAAATCTCAATATAGATAGACTCCTTTGAGCTGTTTTCGGCGTGTGATCTCGTCAGTCTTCCATCGCGTCTGTATCTCTGGTTTGTCGTGTCAAATTATTGACTGCTGTCTCATAATTTGATTTTGATTGCTGCGGCCGCTTGTCATCTTTCCGATCGAATTTATAATCTGCTTTGATTTGGCCCGATGCGCGCGACCGAAGCCAAAGAAAAGTAAAAGTCATAACACACACACTCATGTGGCAGTTGATAAGATCGCCTATCGGAGATCTGGAGCTCGCCGAGCCGAGTCCAAATGCGACCCATTGCCATTGTTTGGCATGACTTTTTATTGGTACGAGTAATTACCAGGGGCGTCAGCCGAGTTCCCAGTTGCCCAGTTGCCCAGTTCCCGAGTTCCTGGTAACCGTTGGCAATGGCAGTGGCAGCAGCCGCTGTTCATTAGCCGCAGGCGTTGCCGCTGATTGGGCCAACTAATCCCTGTTGCAGGCCCAGATTAGGCGCTGCCTCGCCATCGCCCTCTTCCCGGCTCTCCCTTCTTCCACTATCATTAGTTTTATGCCCGTTTTTTGTTGTATTTTGTCAGTTCTGCTGAAATAGGCGGCCTGGTAGTCGACTTTGTGGTTGGCACGCACAGCCATTACAATTAGTGTTTGGGGATTTTGCTTTAAAATTCTCTTGTCTCTTCTTTTTATCTTTCGTAGCTGTGACGCAGATCTCTTATCGTTTTTCGTGAGGAATTGACATATTCACTTGGTAATATGATCTATTGAACGAGAGAGAACAAAAAATACGGCCTCGGGCCGGCTGTTTTTTTTTTTTTTTTTGTTGAAGGCAACAACATTTCTTGTGACAAACAATGAGGGAGAAATCATAATTACAATGGATTAGAAAATATTAATATGTTGCTCTTTGATCCGTGCCGTTGATCAATTTTAAGACACTTGAGATCTGTTGTTGTTGTGTATTGACATTGTTCTTGAGCCGAGTAGGCAAACAACAAATGAACTTATACAAATATGATAGACGATTCAACTTAGAAATGACTGGTTTTATCAACTTTACTTCATATTGAACTTGTAGAAAACACAATTTCCATTACGTTTCGATTCGTAGACACTTTTTATTTGCCCAAGATCTTTGACCATGCGCCAAAGATCTTGGGCAAATAAAAAGTGTCTACGAATCGAAACGTAATGGAAATTGTGTTTTCTACAAGTTCAATATGAAGTAAAGTTGATAAAACCAGTCATTTCTAAGTTGAATCGTCTATCATATTTGTATAAGTAATATAATACTATTATTATTATATATAAAGTAAATAATAAGTTGAGTCATATATAATGTACTATATATTATGAGCTAATAGTTTTGATAACTTCATCTGCTATTATCTGAACAGCAGTTTCGCTCTATACACCGATCGTCATGCTCTAACACCTTCCCAATCAAAATGCTAATTCCTTAAGCAGAATTATTCAACTTATTTAAGTTGTCAATCGGGAAAGGCTGTTGGCCAGTTGAAAGTGATTTACGACCAAGTAGAGCCGAGCCAGAATCAACTAACCGAATCGAAGCTGAAGCCGTAGCCGAAGGCGAAGGCGAAGGCGAACAGTGCGAATGTGAAGCATTTGTGCTAGCCCCTCCTCAAACATTCCCTGAATGATTTGCATGCCTTCGACCAGAAACAACACGAAAATCAGCTAAGGACAGACTGAAATCAAATCGAAGCCATCTGGCCAAAAGCGTCGTGGGAATCAGTTCAATATAATTTGCCCGGCCAAATAAGAACTGAGAGAGTGAGCTCGGACTCTCGATTGCGATTGCGATTGCGATTCGGGGCATTGCGAATGTCAATTAATTGCAAACAAACTGAGGTACAAATCGTAATGAAACAAACTGCAAGAAAACAACAAAACAATAACAACATCAATGGAAAATTGTTGCAATTTTCTCGCGACTGTCGGTTGGGTCAGAAGTAGAAGGAAGTGTACGTCGACTGCCGAATTATTGAGTGGCTACAACGACTGACAGACGGACGGACGGACGGACTGACTGCCCGCTTGAATGATGTGAGAGTGTGCTCGACCCCCGCACTCGAAACACTCACCAGCTGAGTGACAGCCAAAGCATTTCGCTGTGCATCGCTGAACGTTTGGCATGGCCATCAGTCCGATGTGGACATGTGTCCGTCCGACTTGTTCCAATACCTCTCGGCGCTCGACGCTCGGCACTCGGCATCTGAATCTGAATCTGAATTGGCATCGCTGGAATGGGAATCAGTTGCCGAATGGGGCGCCATTCGTGCTCATTGGCCAAATGCCTAAATGCCCAAATTGATGCACGCGATTTAACGTTTCTCTGATTGAGCTAATGACGGAGGCGACTACGTGAGAAAGAAATAAATTTCAATTTTGCATTCGCATTCGCATTGGGTCAACATCGACACCAGCCAGCAGAACGTAAGCACTTCGAATTGCATTCGCATGGAACTGGGATAAGGAAGGCATCGCAGCATAGTCATGTTTGACATACATATACATGTTTAGTAATAGGCTATAATGGAAGAGAAGGGCAGGTGAGAAATAAGAAGCAGAAGAAGAGGGAGATATATATAAGGATTGGGGGAATAAAGCAGATAGAGAAAGATAGTGATAAATATAGAATTGAGAGATAATATAATTTGCAGAAATTTATAAAAAATAACAGACAGATATATGTACTATATAGATACAGATCACAATAATGTTGATAGAATTGGATTGATACAGAAAGACATATGAAAGAAAGCGAGAGGGATAGAGACAGAGAGAGACAGAGAAAAAAGTTGAGACATTTGCATATACCTAAAGGAAATTCCTTTTGGAATTCTTTACCACGAGAGCCGCAAATTATCATCAGACTCGGGATAGCAAACTGAAGTAAACTCGAAATTCTAAAATAGGAAATCATAAAATTGTGTAAAAAGCTGGGAAGCCGTTTTACATTACTCTATAAAGATATTTCACTCATCTTACTGCAGAATTTTTCTAATATACTCTAGCTTATCCTACAGCTAGAATTAATTCCATTACATGCGCTTAAAATTTCGAGCATATGTATAATCGTCTATGCAATAAATTTGATATACACATATCTTCTTCGCGTCAACTCATCGATAATTCTTAATAGCGGAATATTTTGCCCCATTTACCATAAGAAAATAAATATCTTAAGGTTCTTGAGTTTGGCTTCTAAATATCCCTGGACCCATCTATATTAGTCCAATTTTCTCAATACATTCAAGTTTATTTTTTAGCTGCCATTTGTAAGCCGGATATGGAATGAAGAATAGGTATGCACGGACTACCCTACCGACGGATTGTGTGACCAGCTTTGGGCCCGATTAAGGTGGATCGTCCACCCCCTATGGTGCGTTATGATTATTCTATTGGCAACTCATTTCCTGCTGCCCGGCATTCACTTTCAATTTCTCAGGACTGTTGTGAGTGGAGCTGGTGCGATGGTGCTCGGAACACAAAGCGAAATTAATATAAACGGCTGTCTGGATCGGGATGGCCTTTAATCATTTTTAGCTGCGCCTGCCCAAAGTAGAGCAACACAAGGCACCAGGCACAAGGCAACAGGAAGATTGCCGTCCAAAGCTGTAAAGCGTGGCAAATATACGCTTAATTGGCTCGAGACTTCCCCCAGACTTCGGCGAGCCGAGCACCGACCGGCTCCGGTGCAATAAAATGCAAATTAAACGAATGGAGGCCGGGTAGGCACATTTATTTACTTAGAACCTCCTGCTGTGCTTCCGAATTAAGTTTAAGCCCGGAGGCTAAAAATGCAAAAATGAGTTTTACTAATTTCTTAACTTGTGGCTTGCATGATGGACGTTCCACAGGGGCAAGAGGTTCTCCTTCTCTCTCTCACTGTCTGTCTCTCTCTCTCTCTCTGTCCGTCTTTCTCTCTACCTCTCTCAGTCTCTCTTGGAGTCTTAATCCTTTCATAAATCGATTTTAAATGAGTTTCCAGCGGTTCGAAGCCATAATCAAAATATTCTACTGGCGCATGCAAATCTGCTGAAGCGAAAAACCTGGAGACTTTCGGTAGCGCACCAAAAAGAAAAAAAAAAATAACTAAACAAAAAACTGAGAGAAAAAACTCCATGGTCACTCCCACCTGACTGCCGAAAAAGCGCCTGAAGGACGACAGCGAAGAAGACGAAGACGTCGTTGCTGCAGACGCGTCTTCGGCATGCGTTGAAAGTGGGGCGTGCGCCGTTTAGTATGCAAAGTGGCCCATGGGCCGGTGTAGCCCCGACGGTGCAGGGGAAAAACAAAAAAACCAAAAAATAAAAGTAAAAAAAGAAAATGAGTTATGACTTGGACATGGACTTGGACTTGGCATACGGTCGAGCGTCGGTCTCGACTCGTTTGCATATTTTAGGCCACCGTTTAATTAAAGGTTCCACATTTTCTGAACATTTGAAACAGGGCACGAGCACAAGGGGTCTGTCAAGAGCTCGCGACTCGCCCATAGCACTTCAGCTGGAAGAGCTGAAGCCTTCAGTTTCAACTCCATCTGTAAGTGTGTTCGTGTGCGTGTGC